CTACAGAAATTCCAAATATCAAATACAAGTACAGGAACTTTCAAGTTGTTGTTATGTACGAAATAGTAAAATCACATGAATCAATAGAATAAAAGTACTACACAAGTTATTTCAGCAGGTTAGAACCAAACCAATACCCAAGTTCACCAAGATTCCATAGGACTCAAGTTCTCAAGTCAAGGCTCAACTGAGGTACAAATCTGATAATAACTCAGAAACAAGGATTACACAAGAATAAGGGGCAGAATAACATTATACTGAATTAAGCATTGGTATTTAAAAAAAAAAACTAACAGAAATATCAAGTTCGAAACAAGAAATACGGAATTAGGGTTAGAAAAAATGCAACCAAGATGGTGGTCCTATAATATGACCACCTAAACGTTTTCCTTACCAGAGGTCACAGACGAGTATCAAATAGGTTTAGGTTTTTCATACATGAAACCCAGATTTAGGGTTTCACCCCCAAGAAACACAAAGAAAACCAAATGTCACTTTCAAATCGTGTTACCAGTACTAAGATCCACACTAGAAACTATTAGATCTAGAAAAATATAATCCTAGGATTTTGACAGATTTCAAATCGATCCAAGTTTATCACCTGAAAATTAATTTTCCAGTGACAAAAACTCAATCGAAGCCTCTTTACATACCAACGTAAGCTCTGATACCACTATTAATACGGATCTCCAAATTCACTTACACAAATCTAAAAGAATACACCAAAATCACTACTAATCTAACCAAATCGGCTTCAAGATTTCTTCAATTTTAGGCTCACTCAATTGTACGTGTATATGTTATCAAACAGGAACCGGAAAAATCCAAAACTCTCACCAAACCAGACGCGAATGAAGTTACTTCAATGGCCAGAAGAACCTACACCACACCAATGACCTACTCACTAAGAGATCACACATATTTCTTTTCCACTTAGAAAAAGAGTTCAACTACATAGAAGTAGAAGATGACAGAAAGAGAGGATGAAGAAGAAGGGTTCAACTGAATGTTCTAGACCAAGAGGCGTACCACAGAAGAATAACTTAATCACCCGTAAAGGAATAGGAAATACAACATTTATACTCACAGCCCCAACCATTGATCTGAAATGAATCCAACGGATCAGAGCAACTGATTCTTTCTCCAACAGCACTAAAAGTGTGCTTTGAATATATGAGTTATCCGACTAGTTTTGGGCTGGCTTGTGGGCCATCTTAATCAGGTTATTGGGAAATTTTTAATCTGTCTGGGACGAAGGTCATTTCATCATTGTCCAAAGTTGGACTGGACCTAGCATTACAGCCCAATACTTACCTTAGTCTTTCAGAAGTTACTAAATTGTTGACTTGTATGACCAAAAATATTATATAGCTTGAAAAGTTAGCTAATGTATTGATTGTCATGAAATCACCAAAAATGCTTTCATTATTGAAATGTTACTATGTGCTTGTTTGGTATGGATTTTTGGGGGAAGAATTGACTTTTGAATAATGATATGATGGGAAATGTGTGGTTGAAAAAGAAAAAAATTATTGGAGTGATGGAAAATATTATTTTATTGAAGAATGTGTGGTTGAAAATAAGAATTGATTTCCTATAGAATTTGAGAATAAAAAAACAAACATGCCCTTTACAAATGCATTGATGTTTTAGAGATGAATAATAATAGCGAACTGTCAATCTTCGCAGGCTCAATTTGATAGGCAAAGCTATGTGTGGCCCATATTAATGAATATCATCATATGCAAGTATTGTCATTATGTACGTGTTTATAGCAAGTTTACTAGCCATGTGAATGGAAAGCTTGCTTAAGGGCTCCTCCAGACACTGCATCGTGATGCATATCAAGCAATGTTATTTTGGTAACTTGAACAATGAAACTATTATTAAAGGGATTTCATAGAGATGGCATAAAACCTATTATATCGACATCGTGGGGCCCTCGCCCTGAACGGGATATGAATTTCTCGCCTAATTGGGTTCATGGGGGGTGAGAACGGGTTGATGGTCATTGCCCCGAGACGAGGTAGGTTAGAGCGGGGGGAGCGGGTACTCTCGCCCCATTTAAAGTTCATTTCAAAATATAATATTTTATCACCAAAAAAAAAATAAAAATATATCATCACTTTTAGAGGAAACATGAATTTTTCTACAATTTGAAAAGAAAGTAATGATTTTCACAAACTAAAAAAATAAAAGTAAAAAATTAAAAAAATAAATGTGACCATAAGCGGCATGAAACCTGCTGTCGCATCAAACTCGATTGCCCTGGCTTAATCGGATATGGAGTTGGGACAAGGAAATAAAAATATTCGATGAGATAGGGGGGGGGGGGCGGAAATGGCTACCCTGGTCCCGACCCTCCCCGTTGTCAAGCTTTTAGACCATATAATCTTTTGTCTCGAGTGCTTAAATTAAAATGAGGACAAAGTTGAGGGACCAATTGAAAAACAAAAGTTTCAATTTTAATGCTTGGTGCGAGCTTATAAACATACATTGTTTTGTTGGGTGCACTCCAAGTCTCCAACGTTAACTTGCAACAACAACGTTTGTTTTTCAAAAAAAACGCAAAGAAAGCCAGCAAAGCACAAACCAGAGGACAGACGGACAGATAATATATTCCCTTTCTCTGTGGAGAGAAAGATACAACGACGTCGTACATTCTCTTTCTTCTCCTCCGGCAATGGAGCCAATCTCTGGATTTTCTGCATTGTCGGTAAAAATGGCGGATCAGACCCTTTTGGCTTCCATTTTTGCACTTCTTTTTGGGTTTGTGGTGTTGTATCGTTTGGTTTTCAAAAAAAACGGAGAGACAAAATCAGAATCAGAATCCTCAGCCGTCACCACCACCGCCGTCATTTCCAGATCCAAGAACGGTGCCGACGTCGACGTCGACGCTGACGTCATAATTGTCGGTGCAGGCGTTGCCGGCTCTGCCCTTGCTCACACCCTTGGAAAGGTACGCTTTTGCTAATTTTCCGTTTTATGATCTCTTGGCTATTTATTTTTAGGATAATTAATTATGGTACCTGTCTACCTGAGATTATTTTTTTTAAGTATAGAGATTCTTTTTGCTTAATGTAACTGTTAACATTGTTTTTGAGGTAAATTTCATTTGGCTTTCTGGTTTGTAGTCTCATTTTCTTGTTTAATTTTTGGGTTCTTGCTTTTATTGGTTATTTCGTTGATGATTTCGTTTGTAATTAAGCTTGTGATTCTTGAATGTTGAGGAACGGAAACAGCAGAATAAAGATATCAAATTTTTGAAATTTGATTGCATCTTGTTTATCTTGCTCGATAATCTCGTATTGCAACTTGTCTCGACTGAAAGTTTTGGGAATGAAAGATTCAACTGCAAAATGTTAAACATTAAGCTCTAATTTCCTTCCCGGGAGTAAAAATAAATGAAATGAAAAAACGAAATATACCCACATGCCAACATATAGACTTATAGCGGTTCACTTGTAGCTTTACCATAACAAAGGAGATTATTAAGTTTTCCTCACACCTGTGTCTTATTCTAAAAAAAATCGCCCTCAGCTTCCTTTTTATAAGGAAACTGGCGACCTAATGCAAAAATATGCATTTCTCATTTTACCTTTATGACAAGAAAAACTTCAATAGGAATGGATAAGTGAATAATATAATTTGGCTCCACATAATCCAACACAGAACTCATGTTTTTTGTGGAATTCCACTTGCAGGATGGACGCAGGGTGCATGTGATTGAAAGGGACTTGAAGGAGCCCGACAGAATTGTTGGAGAACTTCTACAACCAGGTGGCTACCTCAAACTAATTGAGTTAGGACTTGAAGGTAAATCTTGCTGCGTTATTAACTTGTACATATCTCAAGGCCGTGTTTATACACAACTATCTGTGATTGTTATTCAATTTCTCTACCGACTTATGGATTTCTCTCCCAAATTTGTGTTGCTGAAAAGTTGATTTTTTTGTACAGATTGCGTGGAGGAAATTGATGCTCAAAAGGTGTTTGGTTATGCTCTGTTCAAGGATGGAAAAGCCACTCGACTTTCTTATCCTTTGGATAAATTTCACTCTGATGTATCTGGAAGGAGCTTTCACAATGGACGCTTCATACAGAGGATGCGCGAAAAAGCTGCATCTCTCCCCATGTATTCACTTGCGTCTTCTTCTTTTATTGGTGCCAGGGGATCTTACCCAATCAGAAGATTTTATGTCACTACTGTTTTTTAAGCCGGTCTTTGGGCCAATTGATAGTTACACCTTGTCTCTTGCTATTTGACAGTGTTCAATTGGAGCAAGGGACTGTCACGTCTCTTCTTGAAGAAAGTGGGACCATTAGAGGTGTCCAATACAAAAATGAATCTGGTGAGGAGTTGAAAGCGTATGCACCTCTAACTGTCGTATGTGATGGCTGCTTTTCTAACCTGCGACGCTCTCTTTGCACTCCGAAGGTGAGAGTTACTAAACTTTTCATTTTTCTATTAGTTTGACGCTTCATTCTGTGACGGAAAATTGCACAATGGGTCCCAACATATTGCAAGAGTAACGAGTTGGTACCCAATATTTACAAGATGACCAAGTTAGTCTTCACCCTTTTATTATATTTTCGGAATCAGTCGCTCAGCATGGAAACCTTCCAAAATTAGCTAATCTTTACGTAATTTTATGAAGGTAAGTTTTTCTTTTCTAACTCTGGCTGGTATCCAGAAATTGAGGCCATGTGACGGTGAAATGAGAATTTAGATTTCCATTGTTGGGGGACTGTTGCAGAACAATAATAACTAACTTGCTTCTCGACTTTAGATTGGGACCGATGGTGCAATTTTTCCCCTTTCTGTTAACGTGACTGGATTTCTTTCAAGTACCATCGAAAGTTAAATTGCATTGGTGCTATCCCGTTTCTCTTGGGACTTACCAGCATTATCATATTGTATGCTAAAGGTAGACGTGCCTTCCTGATTGGTGCTATCCCGTTTCTCTTGGGACTTACCAGCATTATCATTTTGTATGCTTATGGTAGACGTGCCTTCCTGTTTCGTTGGTCTGGTCCTGGAGGACTGTCAGCTTCCTTATGCAAACCACGGGCATGTTATTTTGGCTGACCCATCACCTATATTGTTTTACCCCATAAGCAGCACTGAGGTTCGCTGTCTGGTTGATGTTCCTGGTCAAAAGGTCCCTACTATATCAAATGGTGAAATGGCCAAATATTTGAAGACCACAGTTGCACCCCAAGTAAGTATAGTTAAGAACTTGTGGCATGTTTAGCATGGAGGAATGAACGGGACAATTAGACAGTTTTTGGAACGTAAACGAAGTTAAAAATCTAGTTCATTACACTTTGAGTCCTGCATACGAAACGCGCTCTTACTGTTTTCTGCTGGTGCTCTAGGCTGATAGTTTATACTATTGTATTAGGTCCCTCCTGAGCTGTTTGATGCATTTATTTCTTCTATTGAGAGAGGAAATATAAGGACAATGCCCAACAGAAGCATGCCTGCTGCTCCGCATCCTACACCTGGGGCTTTGCTCATGGGGGATGCGTTCAACATGCGCCACCCATTGACCGGTGGAGGAATGACTGTTGCATTTTCTGATATTGTTGTACTGCGCAATCTTCTTAAGCCTCTGCCTGATCTCAATGATGCACATACTCTCTGCAAATATCTTGAATCCTTTTACACCTTGCGGAAGGTGAGTCGTTAAAAATGATGGACCGTGAATTAATATCCATGTGAGCATGTTGTTCTAGTCACTCATGGTGTGTTCGCCTAAGCTTTAAACTAAGTAATACTTTGTTTTTGGATAAATGGGATTTTTAAGCTTAGCCGAACATGCTCTGACGTATTAGTATTGTCTTCTCATTTTAAATATTTCAATTTTCAGCCTGTGGCATCCACTATCAACACATTGGCAGGGGCACTTTACAAGGTCTTCAGCGCATCACCTGATCGAGCACGGAATGAGATGCGCCGGGCATGCTTCGACTATTTAAGCCTTGGAGGTGTTTTCTCAAACGGGCCAATATCATTGCTTTCGGGGCTGAACCCACGGCCATTAAGCTTGGTCTGTCATTTCTTTGCAGTGGCAATATTTGGTGTTGGACGGTTGTTGTTGCCTTTTCCATCTCCCAAACGCATGTGGATTGGAGCCAGATTGATTTCTGTAAATACTGTTTCTTTCCCGTGTTATTTCCTTCTCTTCTCTCATACTTTTTCTCACAATTTTCGATCCCTGATTTGATTTCATCAATGCAGAGTGCATCAGAAATAATCTTCCCAATTATCAAAGCAGAAGGTGTGAGGCAGATGTTCTTTCCAGCAACTGTTCCTGCATATTACAGAGCTCCTCCTGCCAAGTGAGTTGTGAAAGCCAAAGTAGAGAGCACTGATGTCATATTTGGTAGTGGGTTGAACTGGATAGCTTTGGATCCTCGACAATTTTATGCAAGAAAAAACTAGTTAAAATCACGTCATTTGTATTATCCAATCTTGCTCAATCCTACACGAGTACGAAACATATTAAGTCGAGTTTGTGTCAGTATTGATGCTTAAAAGTTATCAAAAGAATAATGGGCGTTTTCAAGCATCAATGTCGATTTCGTCTCATTTATTGAATTCTGATCGCATAAATTTGATAAATAATTTAATGCTATGATATTATTTATCATGACATTGGATCATTATAGTAAATAACATAAAACCAACCTTAAAGGTACTAAAAAAAGTCGACATCGACCTTTCATTACAGCCAATTGACATTCAGAAGCATTTCATCAATAATTTCCCCAGGATGATTTTGTGCAAGGCAGATTACAGTCAACAAAATTCTATTATTGTAAAACAATATAAATCGACTCATGCAAGTGGGAACAAATCCGCTTAATGTAGATAATGTCTCTTTCCCATTTGATTAGCCATACAAACTATAAATACACCAGCAGCTCTAAACTGAAAACTTCTGCCAGGTTCTTTGTCGTCGCTGTCCTGTACAACACGAAAAGCTAAAAACATGTATGGTATTCCCAGAACATCTTGTAGATATCTCTTGTTAATGACGGAGACCACTTGAAGGCATGAATTGAGTGTTCAACCTCTGATGTAGCTCTCCTATTGTTTTTTATTGTTCTTCCGTTCTGATTTAATAGCCTCGTAAGACACCATGACTTCCTTAAATTTTGCTTCAGCAACCTCTGCAAACAATACAACAGATCAATCATCCAATTCAAATGGCTGATCAAGCAAGCAATAATTAGTTCAAAATGAATATAAAGCTTCTATATCCATCTTGAATTCACACCTTTGTTATTCTGATTCTGATCAGGGTGAAGCTTCTTTGCCTTTTCCCTGAAGGCCGACTGCATTGCAAAGCAAAATTTGATGCAAGTGTATGAGAGTGAGAGTGAGAGTGAGAGTGAGAGCGAGAGCGAGAGCGAGAGTGTGAGAGAGAGAGGAAGATGGACTAGGAAAAATAAAATACACTCCCGTTAAAACAAGTGAAGAAGCAATTTGCAGCAATAGGCAGTCATTAATCATCATATGAACTTCACAAACCAGCAATGACTAAAATTTGACGATAGCAGATTTTGAAAAAAAGATAAGTCATTGATATCGGATTTCAGCATGAAAAAAGCAGCTTAAATGGGAATAGTTGTACTCACAAATATATAGTACCTGCTCCATGACAATCTACGATAAGCACAAGGAAAGTGACAGAGAACTACACACAGATGGTAATTCAAACTATTTAGGAGAACGAGACAATAAAGACATTGCATTACAGTGGCAACATTATCATCTTTGAAAATTATGTCTACAATTCTGTTGTCAGTAAACATATGATGCACTAAAATAGTTAGCACGTATTTCTGAGCTGACGCTGGTGCCCTTTTTAAGTTTTTTCTTTTGAAGGGAGATGTAAAATTCAAATTCCAGCATTGATATTTGTGTCATATATCACCCATGCACATCTAGATAAACTGTGGTCGATACTTGATAGTACAAATGAAATTCAATCTGAGGTGCTCAACGAAGGCTGATGATAGATTATTGTTTTTCAGTTGGTCGGTGGTGGTAACATTACAAGGCTAGCTGGTAATTTTCCGTGGTTGATTATCTACAATAACAGAAAGGTGAACATGGCTAAGGGGGTCAATATATGTGTTGGCAATGACATTCCATTGGAGGTTATGGTGACTAAGAAAGGTCTAGAAACAAAGTTAGGGTTTCTATTTGTGTTTAAACTCTTTTCCTTTTGGTCGTCGAGGATTGACCCATTTAATGCTTGATCTGGTTATTTTGCATCCACAGGGCCGCAGAGATGTGAATTTGGTCATAACCTGTTGAGGGTGATGATGTCACCCAGTGATGATTCATGTTAGGTGTTGTTTGTATTTGATTTCAAGTTGAGGGACTGTTAGGTTAATAATTGCATGTGGTCTTAGAGATGGAATAGGTTCTATATTTGGCAATTGAAGCTTTCCTTGTTATATCTTCGTGAGTTTTCAGAAATACATCACAAAAAGTCAAAAACTAGCATAGTTTTAATTCTTATAAAAAAAACTAGATCAGCTATTAAATTAGAATGGTGGAAAACAGATCAAAATAATAAGCCCGGGTTTGACAATCATTAAAATAAAACTTTTTTTTCCTCAAATTCATTTTCAACCACACATCTCACAATAAAATATTCTATACGTAAACTCAAAACATTTTCCTACTTTTTAACCACACATTCTCCCAACAATCACTATTCCAAAACTCATTTTCCCCCAAAAAAAACTCATTTTAATGGTTGTCAAACAAGGGCTAAAGTTCAGGCTACTCGTTACAGAAAAAGAGTGCTATAAGAAAGAATCTTATCATCAGAAACAGCAGATAACATATTGACAACCCTTCAATTCTGTTGAATTCTACATTTCTCTTGTATTTTGATAGTTGTGCATCCAGTTTTACTTAGCAGTTAGCAAAGTTCCATAAGTTAGTAAAAATATGATTGCCTTGGCCAAACAGTCTATATTTATGTATTCTACTTATATTTTATTCCTATATTTCAAATTGAATGTTTTGTTCGACATTGTTTCCTTCTAATCAAATTGATGGTTTTCCAAAGCCATACTTCAACGTTTGTTCGCTTAAATCTAAAAATCTTTTGAAAACAGAATTGTATTTTCTGCCAAGTTTATTACTATAATGTGGTTTCTCCGAAAATATACACATGGGTATGTTAATATCGCTTTGGGAAAAAGCAAATACAATCTGATGATGACCAAAAGTATTGGTGATGTGACTTATAGAAGTTACATACCCAACTAGATACAACTTCATCATGTTGAACAGTCAGAAATACAGGCTCTAATTATTATGGTCGAGGTAAAGGAGAAATGAAAAGTTTTAAGTTTCATTCCTAAGTTCCTAACCATCTAAAGGAGATGATCCAATTTCTCCTCTCTTATTGTATATTTTTCAATTTTTACTATTTCCTCCATAAAATAAAGACGAGGAAAGATTAGTTACTTGAAAAGTTTTAAGTTTCATTCCTTAGTTCCTAACCATCTAAAGGAGATGATCTAATTTCTCCTCTCTTATTGCATACTTTTCAATTGTTACTATTTCCTCCATAAAATAAAGACAAGGAAAGATTAGTTACTTTCCAAAAGGAGCCAACGGGGATACACTGGTTCAATTGAGTGAATTAAAGCATAATCTTTAAGCATTTCTTGTCAAGGCTCAAGCCTTGAATCAAACACAAGCCTCAAGGCAAATGTGCTGCTCACTGTTGCCCGGTTTGGGCTGTTCTTTACCGACTTTAACTTTTGGGGAAGATTTTATAATAGCTCGAACATTTTGAACAGTTTTAAGCACATAACGACTCAATCCTAGAAACTACAAAAAAAATGTGATTTCGAGATTAGAGAATAGTAGTAAAGAACTTATAAGTGCCTTAGCCATCTATTAAGTGTGACCCCACAACCGATTAGTCTTGTTGCAGCTTTGCTCAAGCTATAAGAGTCAGGAGTAGCAGGTAATTTCACTCTTCTTTTCTAACAAATTATTGCAAACAGAGTTGATTGCTCCAGTTGTCTTCACCGTTTATTTTGTTTTATTTCTTTTAATTGCTATCTGTTGATGATTTTTTGTTTTTACACTCTTTGTTGCAGTTGTTAATTAGTGATTAGTTGCCAGCTTCAAATGTCATGTCAGTGCTCTAATTTTATTCTCTTCTAGCAGCAGATGGAGCCTGGTTATTTGATTCATTTGGGAAGGTTTCCTTTAACAATTATTATACACCACAAAATAACCCATTAGCATTTTATTGTTGGACACTTGAATTTGTATTCAAATATTTGAACTTGTTAACATTGGTTGTGTTTCTTCATTGTGTCCTTTTTAGGTACTTTTTGAATTGCAGACTGGAAATTTATAAATTTTAATTTTATGTTGGTCTTACATCAAAGAAAATTGAGGTCTACATGTCATCTCACATAGGCAAAACACCTTGATATCCGATTTGTCCTTTTTAAGCACTAGACATATCTCTTCAATTTTTTTCCCCCCATTTTTATTTTTTACTCATCTCTGCACGTTTTTTTTCCCTTTGTATCTTTCATTTTTTTTAAAATTTCTCTTTGTATCTTTCATTTTTTAAGGCATATCCTTCTTTTCCTTTCCGAATCTTCTATTCAACCGAAATAGGTATTTTAGATCAAACAAAAGGCATCAAATAATTTGAATGTATAAGAAAATAAATATTGATTCGTACCTTTATCTCATCATCTGTGTATGGTTTTGTTCTCATCCTGTTGCAGAGAAAGAAGCAAGCGAAGTGGTCAATTTCCACACAAAAATCTTGCTCATTACTTTGATGTAAAAGTTCATATGATCTATGGTGATCTAGTCTTATCAAAATAAGTCAGACCTGACAGTAGTACAGAGCTAACCCTTTACCAAAGAGTCGATAGCCAGAAGAATTTATATCAAAACATGTGACTGAAATGATTGAATTTGAGATCCATGGACTTCTTAGTGCATGATTTTGAACATAATAATCACTCTCAAAACCTTTTTGATTTAATTTTAAGAATAGAAATAAATAGCAGATAAATTAGCTGTACTAACTAATTTGCATTTTTAGAAGAATAGGTATTCATCTTTCTGCATCAATGTCCATACCTGTCAAGACCAAGGATTGAGTAGTGATGCGATAATGGGGCAATTGCATTGCTACGATCAGTTTCCCTAAAATTACCAGCCCGATCTCTGTGTGACGTATCTGCCTTCCAATACCAATCATTCCTTTGAAAATGTTGATGATACGCACCTGAACCATGTTCTGCCCAGCTCTCATATTTCCTTTGGTGTTTATTTCTCTCTCTGTTGAATACACTTTGCATTCTACGAATTCGCTCCTGGAAATAGCATAACAAATTTGATCAATGATGATAAACCAAGTGATACTACACATGATGCTTGTATGACACATTGAAGGGAGCAAACAATCAAAACTCAGAATGTAGTTAGGAACAAAAACAATCTGAAAATTTTCTTCCATGAGAGGAAGTTCATCAATTTTAACCTTGTGTCTCGTCAAATTTTGTGAAAATAAGTAATGAAACAGAAGAAACAAACTAAACATGAAGTCCAAAAGCGTATACACAAGGTATAGGAGTACAAGATCTTTGGGCAGCTACAGAGGCAAAAAGGAGCAGCCTACTTGTGAAATTCAGTCAAATTATAATCCTCAAAGTGGCATATATCACTGCCTGATGCTTGTGAATAGTCTTGAAATCAAACTTCAATTGTACTTCCACCGAATATATTTTGACAATCACCTTTTTCATGTTAAAGTTTCACCATAAGTTACAAATCATACAATGGCTTGACGCTTGTTCACACATATCAACCCACATACCAAACACCTTCATATTTCCTAAACTTAAAAGAAATTTAAAACATCAACTTTCTTTATGAGTAGCATAACCCAACAGGATTTGAACACTGCAGATAAAATCTTCAATTAAAATTTCACTCAGGAGAAAGAGTAAACTCTTGTAAATAAGAATCTCACCACTCTTTCCATCTCTTCTTCATACTCTTCCTGCATTCGGCGATTATATCTTTTCCAGGCTTCCTCCTGAAAACTTGACCGAGATGAACCACCAGTTGAACTGTTCCATGACGATCGAGACCTGCTCAACTTTTCGCAGTGCAGTATTATATAAGTTCAAAACATATTACTAAAGACTAAAACAGTTGATATTAGTTAAACTTCCCCTTCCTTTTATCCCTTTAGAGCACAAGTCTTGTTTTACCCCTTCTCCTCATTCTTTGTTCTTCTCTTTTCCTATTGGGGGATGGGGAGGTGGGGTGCAGTTTCTCTTGCACATGAATATGATAAAAAGGATGCAGAACCAAAGTAATTAAGTGCCAGATGTCTTAAAGAAACAACTTTTCAAATATTTTTGCCAATATATCGCTTTCCAAACCAATTAACTTTTTACGTAGTTCTCTGAGGAACCACGAGGAAGACCAAGAATAGGCAAATTTAATGTTGTAAAAAATACTTGGAAGTATTAACATCAGACAGCTAACCATTATTTCAATAAAATTAAAGTTGAAAAGATGTCAAACCAATTATTACCTGTGAGTATACCCAGTCAACTGTCCTTCTGAATTTGGTAACCTGCAAATTATAACACAGGGAAAGTTATGACAAACGTAGAAATCATAACCTTTGACAATTGTATAACCAAGACTTCTCAAGTCTCAACAAGCGCTGCAAAATTTTATCTAGGACATCTGCAAAGTGTGCACTCAAAATCAACTATTTCATATTTTTCACTCTTTCAAAAGAGTCTATTAATAAGCTTTGTCAGAGAGGGTTGGAAAGGCAAGCAATAGGAAGTAATCCAGACTTGATGATGGGAAATTGCTACATTTCCTATTGCTAGTCAATTGGAGTAAAGTCTCTAAATGTACGTAATAATTCTCTAGAATTTGCAGAAATATAGTTTTAACTTTTAAATATCGTTAAAAAGATTTTCATTCCTTTTGATTGACAGATCGAATCAATCAATATTATAAATTATGAACCAATTTTTATCCCATGCACTGTGAAATATAATTAGATAAGCAATGTGAGCTCATTTACAGCTTTGCACAATTCTTTCTTTAATAAGCAGACAATACAATTGACACCTCAATTGTCAAAAGAAAGCTGGATTAAAAAGTTCACATCCTTTGTTTATAACAAGCTCACACTCTGCATTTCAGTTTTTCAGAAAACAATTTATCAGTAATTCATAAATTTAGGTAGCACAATAATATGCTTTTAACTCATCAATTCAGCAGCACCAATACAGATTCAGAAATCCAATTTCCACAACTTAAAAAATGTAAATACCAGAGAAATTGTGGCCATTAATGTGAAGGAAGGTTTGACAATGATGCTAAAGCAAGGAACAGAAGTTATACAGTACAACGAACAAATGATATCTGCAAAATCAGTATCTAATGTCTACGAAAAAACTGTGAAATATTAGCCCACTAGAATCAAAACTAACAGGAGCTTAGTAATTTCCCAAAAATAGGAGTTTTTATAGTTTTTCAACTAATACAGACATTATTATTTTCATCAGCCACTAAAGATTCTGCTTCAAAATCTCAGGCTCCATCCAAATCAAAGGAATTGAATCATTTACCTAGTTCCCATCTCTCATCCCTATCCTTCACATAAATCCACTACCCTAAATCAATAGTTTCTCCTAGTCTGGCTAGAGCAATGAGGGGAATTAGAGTAGTCATCGAGAATACCAAATTCTTTGGAGTGTAACATGTATAAATGCAAATATCATATTTGCTGTCCCAACCATTACAATTAGATTGGGAAAAAAAAAGAAGTGATCCCAATCCATTTGGACTATTCTGGAATTTTTTTATTGTACATATCATAATCAATAAACATTTATAACCCTATATATTCTAACAAACAGACACCTGTATAACAGACTTCCTAAAAATTGTCAATTCATATCTAATCATCCACGAATTCCTGCCAAACAAAATACGGACTGATACTAATGGTTCTTACATATACAAGATCTCTTAAATCTCTTCGTCCAGATGTTTGTTTGATGTCCATGTCTCCAGTGAGACTCACCTTTCTCTTCCCCGTTAACCACAAAACTTAGTAGCAGCTTACATTTTTGGGGCAATCTAGATTCTGCCACTGGAGAGGTCTAATGCAGTAGTTTCCTCGTTGATATATTGGATGATTTCTTTTTCCTCTTTACTCATGCAACTGTTTCAGTTTTCACTCAGTATGTATATTAAAAGAAATGTTTACATGGATCTACCAGGAAAAAGAGTTGTACATATAGGAAAACAATACATTTCGTAGATGACAAATGTAAAATAATCATAACTCCACGGTTGCCAGTCCATTATACATATCCACTTACAATATATCTCAAAAATATTCCGAAGCTTAAACCAATAAGTGGAAAAAGGACAGCAGTTCTGACTGACAACACGCCACTGGCATAAAATGAAATAGAAAAATCCTCTGAAGACTTAGTTCCTGGACAACATATAATGCTACAAAATAACGCTGCTAAACTGGGTTCTGGTGCTTACTCCCAACAAGCCAAAAAATTATACAAGCAAAAAGTCTAGCAGCTGGTTGACAAATCCGCATAACAAAATACCACTTTCATCTAATCTGGAACATCCAAGAAGAAGCAAAACTTTTGCCCTTTTCCTATTACAAAATTTTGCAATAGTTAATAATCTTTTATAACTCAGGTTCGACTTAATTTCTGTTGAACTTGTAATTATTGTTAGAAAATTTATTCTATTGCACTCTAGCTAAATTCAGAACAAAAAAGGTAAGAAATAGTGGATCAAAATAGTCCTTCCTCGTGCCACTGAATAGATCAAAAGCAGAAAAATATTCGAATAAAGAAATACATAAATTGAAAACTTCACTAAGCATGCAAATCAAACATTAGAAAAATTACAATGATTAAAAAGGACGAAATAATATTTCAAAAAATTGAAAAAACTTACGGCAAAGGTAGTTGCAGTAGCTCCAATTAACCCATACATTAGAACTCCCCATAGCCTCATCTCCTCCTTCTCTTCCCCTTTACCTTGATAACCTCTATTTGATTGTTGCAATGGATTGTTCCTATTCCGTTTATCCTCCTCCTCTTTGCTCATTTTTCTGGATAATTCACTAATTCAATTCAGGTATATCGATAGACCTGAAAATAATTCCAATGATTTTCTTTACAAGAATTTCGATTTCAATAGAATTGATTTCCTTTACATCGCCTTCGATTGAGAAAATTAAAGCTCGCACAGTATGAATTGTATCGGACCGCTGGTTTTTGTTTAGTTAAATTTTATTTTAAAAGAAATTATAATTTATATTGTTAGAATAAATAATTATGGGGGATCCTTTGTTAAAAAGGCATAGTAAACAATGTATTTGAATAAATAGAATTTTCATAATGTTTATTGGTAAAATGACTTCCATTAAAAAATATAAGAAATAAAGGGGGTAAAAGGTCTAAAATATCCATATCGTGAAAATTAAAAAATATAAGAAATAAAGGGGGTAAAAGGTCTAAAATATCCATATCGTGAAAAGACTCAAATACCCTTTCAATCCAATTAAATTTCTCAATTCATCTTCAATCCAATTAACGAGCTCTCCGTTTCCCGTGCTTGCTTCCCCCACAAAATTTTGTTATTTATTATATTACTCACTTATCTTTTCCTACATTTTGAGTATTTGAATAAGAATTTTGTTTTCTATAATATCTACATTGAAATCTCTAAATAATTGAAGAAAAAAGAAAATTATTTTTGGTAATATCGTATACATTGGTC